AGGGTATGCTGTGGTTTAGCAATGTGAGGGCAGTAAGAGTGTCAGAACATCACCACAGATGCTCTGAGAGTTACGGTGGGAAACAGGTTTCCATGGCGCAATGTGGCTGCCAGCGGGGAGGAGCCTCATGGCACAGCCCCAGCCATTCTCTCTGGAAGGAGGGAGAGCTGGCTTGTCGTGATAAAGCCAAGCCTCCTTCTGGATAAGCCCGAGGAGTCTGAAGCCGATGGATTCACAGGTTGGGACAGATGGGTTCTTATGAAGCCTTACAATCAGGTGGTGGAGGGAGAACAGGAGGAAAGATACTCTACCTGTTTGCTAAAGCCCTTTCATCTAAACAGCTCTAACCTGAATGGAGTTTGTGTTCTGTCCCCAGCTGCCTGGCTTCTTGTCTGCAGCCCAGTTGGGAGAGAAGGAAAGAAGTTCGAAGCAAGGCAAGGTAGCACAGAAAGGTTTGCCCTCCAAAAAATTGTGCTTGGGGAGCCCTTGTCTTGTGGGAAAATGTGCAGCAGCTGAAGAGCGAATGGGCCGGGAAAACAGAAAGAACTATGGCACGTTTGTTTTGATATGGGCCTTTCACAGCCTTTCTCCCAAATCTCCTGGGGGCTTGGGGGTGGGGGTGGGAGATGGAGTTCAGGATAGAAAATCCCACTGCTTGGGTAATGGTGCCATGGTGAGAGTGATTAGAATGGGCTGAGATGTCATTCCTTCTGGAAGATGTCTAGAGGAGCCAGAATTCTGCTATTTTAGTCAAAAGTACTCCCCAGAGATCTTGCAACCCAACTCCCACATTTTACTCAGAGGACTTGCAGGTTCAGAAACCTTGAGTGACCTTTATAGAGACTTCACCAACTGCTAACCTGGGGTGCTCATCAAGCCACTGAAGTCTAAAAGATTTTTAAAAATATAAACTGAGAGTAATTTCTTCCCACTGTGAAGAATTGTCATGAGACCTAAAGGAATGACTCTGGAAACGAATTGCACATACTTCCTGCCTAGCCAGGGGGCTTGCTTGCCATGGTGCCTACTGTCCCTGACAGAGGCAATGGGCTGAAGCTTCAGAACCCATTCTTTAATTTTGTATGCTTTGCTTAAAGAGCCCCTCCCCCCTTTGATAATCTTGAGGTCCCAGAAGACCTGGACCTTGGCCTGCCTGTCCCACACAATTTATCTGCACATGTGATGCTCCAGTGCTCTGCTGATCAGAAGAGGAGACCAGGTGAGGCTGAGGCTGACTCAGCCTGGACCCGCTGGGAAAACAGGCTGGGACCTGTGATGAAGTTGGGTCAGACATAACAGTGAAGGCTGGCTCACATTATGTCTCAAACGTTCCCCCTCTCCCCTCCCCACCCCCGTGCACCCCCTTGTTTCTACCACCATTATCTCCTTGCCCAGACCAGACTTGTCTTTCAGATCTCCAGACCAGGATTTTCTATCTGGCAGGGGTCCTATTGCATCATCATCCTTCATTTTGCTGGCTCTAAGAATGGCTTAAGCACCTCAGGTGCCTTAATTCCCTTCCCTGCAAAGCGAAGCCACAGTGGTGGCCAATACTTTAAGCATGTGGAAAGGTTGGCTCACTTGTTAGGTATCATCTGCCTGGTGTGTCCCTGTGTGGGTAGAAATCAGAGGATGATGCCTACCTATCTGAGTATCAATAAACACAAGCCAGTGCAACGCTACGTACCATCACTTAGTGCCTATTATGAGCAAAGCTTCTGAGCTGACCCCCAAGGGAACAGAAAGCTGATACGATATAATGCCTGTCCACAGTGTTTAGATCAGAGAGCATGGTATAAAAAGCTTGTCCCTCATTGATAGTAATAACTACCATGTATTCAGACCTACATAGGCTCCACATTTTATTATATGTGTTATCTCTAGTCTTCTCAACAGCTCTATGAGGCAGGTATTATTCTCATTTTGTTGATGTGGAAACTGAGCCTCAAAGGGGCCGTGATTTGTCCAGGTCAGGCATCTTGGGCACCCCTCTGCTTGTCGGTGGCTTGTGGAGGGTGGATGTCAGGGGAAGGCAGAAGCACAGTGGGTGTGCCACACCTTCCATTCTTGGTTTCCCACAGGCCTGGATTTAAACCGAGTTCTAACACTTGTACAGCCTTGGGAAAGCCGCTCTCTCTCTCTTTTGGTTCCTCATCTATAGATTAAACAAAATACTCTACTTCATAAGACAATTAGAAAGATGAAATGAGATAATGTGGGCAGTGCTCATTTCCCAGCACGTTCAGGTACAAAATGACTCATTTTGGTGTAGAACGTTCATCCCCTAGATCCTCATGCCACTTCCTCACCAGCTTCAGGTTTTTACTAAATCGTTACCTTCTCATTGAGGTCTTCCTAGTCACCCTGTCTAAAGGCCAACCCCATTCCAACTTGTCTTATCCCTTCTCTACTTTATCACCAACTACTATATTAACGTACTTACTTATTTTTGTTTGTCTTTTCTCTCTCCACCCATAACAAGGTTAAAGATTTTGAGACCGGGAATCTTTGTGTTATTTCTTTACCACTGCAAGCACGAATATATAGTGACTAAAAGAATGAATTAAAAAACAATAATAAACTTCTCTGGCACCAAAAGACTCAGATTTGAATTTGGCTTCTTCCTCATTACCTGTTTGTCCCTGAATACATTACTTACAATTGCAGGCCTTGATTTCCTCATTTGTAAAATGTGAAGAATAATGGTTTCTGTTTTTAAGACTGCAGGGATGATTAAGTGACATATGCATAAAAACTGGCACATAGCAAGCGGTGGATAATAGCACGTTTGCTATTATTATCACTTAAAATAATCTGACCAGCTGTTTAACTTGTCTTCAGTGCAGCTCAGGTCTTTTAAGACAGAAGGAGGCTAAAAACCATGGATGCCCTCAGCAGTTTCAGCCCGATTATCCTCCTTGTCAGACTATTCACAATTTAAAAGGTATGAAATTGCTCAGTACTCACACTCCAAAGATGCTATGTCCGAATTACCATTACCAGGTCACTGAGGAAGAAAGGAGGCTGAGGCAGCTCAAATGACTTGCCCAAGGTCACTTGCTTCAAAAACCAGGGCATGCTGGAACTGTACCCACATGTCCTGCCTCCTGAAATTATATTATACGCTGCCTCTCTTCCAAGTTCTCTCTACCTGTGGGATGGTGGCAGCGTCCCTGGCCTCAGGAGCCTAGTCTTCAGCTAGGCTTGTCACTCTCGTCTCATCACATAACTCGTTTGACACTCAGTATTTTCGAGCTCAAACATGGAAAATAAAACGCACCCCTTACAACGTTATGACCAATATTACAGGCGAGAACAGCTCTTTGGAAACTGTAAAGCGCTGTATGCATAACCTGTGCAACAGGCACTAACACGCGAGCTCCCTACTTTTCAGTCCCAGGGAGTCGCTTCTGTCGGCCCTCCTCTTTAAAGCCGCACAGTGCGGGGTAGGAAAGAGGATTAACCCCTGCGCGCCTGCCTGGGCGTTTCTCCAGGCGGCAGGGGTGGAGTTCCGCCCCTCAGCCCCCGCCCTGCCGCCTTCTCTCCCGGGCGCCTTCACTCGTGCTCCCCAAGTCTCTCTCCCGCCCAGGCCCCGGCTGCGCTTCCCGGCCAGGAAAGGCACGGCACAGCACTGCGGGCGGGCAGCCAGGATGCAGGCCCCGAACAAGGAGCACCTGTACAAGCTGCTGGTAATCGGCGACCTGGGCGTGGGCAAGACCAGCATCATTAAGCGCTACGTGCACCAGAACTTCTCCTCCCACTACCGGGCCACCATCGGCGTGGACTTCGCGCTCAAGGTGCTCCACTGGGACCCGGAGACCGTGGTGCGCCTGCAGCTCTGGGACATTGCAGGTGAGAGCACCTCGGGAGGGGCCCCCGGAGCGCCTCGCAGCCAGTCTCCGGTCTCGGGGCAGCAGGTTGCGGCCAAGTGGGAGAGCCAGGTTCTCCCCGGCGCTGCGCAGAATGAGACTTTTCATGGTGGATTGGAAACTTGGTTGCAAAGAAAACAAAAAAAGTTTCTCGCCCTCGCTGAAACTTGCAGCGCATTCCCTGGCGTGTGGGGCTGTTGTTTTAACTCCCTTCCCTGGGATCTCTGCCCAGCATGGGCCTTCCCAGGGACCCAAAGGGAGACCTATCTGGAGTTGCATTCGATTTTCGGCCTCCAGCTCATTTTCCGGGCGCGGACAATCCTGCTGGTGACGCGACCCTGAGTGTCGTGCCCGCCCTTCCGTGCCTCGGCCGACCCAGGGGAAACCCCTAGACGGGTTCACAGCGGGAACCGGGAGAGTTCCTGGGCTGGAGGAGTTTACCAATTCCTATCTTCAATCGCTCACTTTATTCCAACTTTCTCCACCCCGTTTTCAACCCTCAGTTAAGCGAATTTGAGGTTCTCTGCTTTAAGGAAGCCAAAGACCTTTCCGTGTGCGTATGGGAGCCAAGTGTTATTTCTCTTCATCTTTCTCCCTCTGCCTCTCTGTCCTCTATCAAAAGGAGTTTTTTTGTACGTATTTTAAGGCCAGTTTTGTGTAAAGGATTATGACATTAACCATACAATTTTTTGATTTGGCCCTAAAGTTCTCGTTAAGAGACCTGGAAAATGAGAAGTTTCTTTACAAGGTTTGACCTCAGAATTTGATTCTGAGAGTTTGTACCAGGAGTTAGGCCCAGTCAGCTGTGAGGATGCAGTCAGTGTATGCAAGAGTGAGTCCCTGGACTGAGGCTGTTTGCAACCTGGGCATGCCCAACCCCTCATTATGGATTCTGGCTCTGCCACTCACTAACCTGCTCAGTGGCTTCAGACAAGTCCCTTCAGCTCAGTGCATCCCTGGTAAGTGGAGAGGGATTAGACAAAGACAGCTCAGAATTCGTCCTCCTGGGATTCAGGGATGAACCACTCGAAACAGTCCCACTTCACCTCTGACTGTTTCATGGTATGTGGCTCCAAGAACCTTTTTAAGTGCTGGACCCAAACTAGCTGTTTCTCGTTCAGAAAATAGGTTCATTTTAGCTGGTGCATTTGACTGGAAACACTTTATCATGGCTTGAAGCAAGAACAAATGTGGAAAATTTTTGAAAGGGCATTTCTGGTTCTGGGGACTCCAGTGCCTCTTTATTCATCAGCTGCCAGGTCATCTGATAAAATTCTTGGCATGTGGCCAGATTCATGCATATAGAGTCATCTTCAGCAGCTCTAGTAGTATAGGGATTATCAGAGACCAGAAAATGTCATCAGCCACTGTGATTGGGCTTTTCATTTAGAAAATTCACTATGAGTCTGTGTACTTTGTTGCTGCGTTTTAGGCTCTGCAAACTCTTCTGGATGAGTTAGATATCTCCAGGACCAGGTTTAGAATTAGCTTACTGTTTGAAAGGGGCTGCAGCTGTAATTTAGACTTTTGTGTCAAATGCAAGTAAGGATCTGACCTCAGGCATGTTATATAATGTCCATGGGTCTCAGTGTCGACACCTAACACAGAAGAATGAAGGGTATAGTGATTAAGTGCCTAAATTCCAGAGTCAAACAGCTTCCGTCTGAGTTCCTGTTTTATTCCATATACCCTAGGCAATTTTAACCAAGTTCCCTAACCTCCTGGTCTCAGTTACCTTATCTGTAAATAGATGGAATGCTTTCTCCCAACTAATGAGAGATGACCACTCAACAAATGCCAGCTAAAGGCAATAGTACCTACTATCTAGGCGAGCAGTAAGGATTATTGTACACTAGCTACCATTTTTTTGAGCACATATAAATGCTAGGCAAGAAGGACATGCTATAAATGTGCTGATTAAATCCTAATAAACGATGATTCCTATATTATCTATATACGTCGGACAATTAAGTTCACGAACTTTCCACTTGTAATCTGTTCCAAAACATCCAGCATCATTTTTCAGCTTTATCCATATTACAACACACTGTCATGAGCAGTTTAAATCCCAAGCTTAGAAATGCCTCCTGAGCCATGGTTCTGGACTAAGGTTGCCGTAGAGGCTGGAGCCACGGAAGCTTCTTTATATAGATAAGCAATCTGGGGAGCCTTGAAAAGTCAGCTCTACAGATATGGTGGTGTGCAGCATTTCAGTAGGGGAGCTTCTTTGTCCTAGAGCTCTGAGGTTCTATGGTAATCTGTCTTTGGCAGCCTCCAGTCCAAAGGCCCTTTGGCTGAGTTAGAAGTTGGGCAGCAGGCAAAGCTGGTTGGAGGAGGCTGGGCCTTTGTGGGAAAGGATGTCTGGAGCATAGTACTGACATGTTTCAGGCTGCGTAGGTAGCCTCGTGAGGAGTGAGTTCATAGGAAAGCCAGCCTCAGCCGCCCACCGAGACTCTAGTCAATTAAGTGTGCTTTATAGTACCTTCAAATCCCGGCCTGGCTCTTCAAATGTAGGAATGCGTCTCTTTGTCCTTTGTGCTCAACTCTGGTGTGCATCTGAAGAGAACAGATAGTGAAGGCTAGTGGGCCTCACTTTGAGAGGGTTGGGGGTATAGATGAGATAGAGAACTGCCCTGCCCAGATAGGGCATCAGATCCACCTGCTATAAAGAAATCTTTGCTGAGAGTCTTGATATTCATTTGGTTCAATGCCAAGTAGACATCCATTTGTCCAACAAATTCCCATGATGTATTATCTCGTAGCCACTTAGACTGACCAGTCTGATCTTGAAAGACTCCAGAAAGTACCTTTCAGTGCTGTGAACTTGGCCTTGAGACCAACGTGATGAATCCCACAAAGCCCATAGGGGACAGCCATCATCCCGAGTCCCACTGATTCCACCCTAGAGAAGCAGCTGGGCTGGTTCTGGGTTCAGAAGCTCTTGCTAGAATGAGAAAAATTGAGTCACTTTGCCCAAGGCCACCCAGCTAAGTGGAAGAGCTGGAGCTGACCTAGTTCTGTCTGGCTTGGAATCAAGCCACGCTCTTTATGGCTACAGTCCTATGAGTGCCTGGTGCATAGGTGGCCTATAGGGGTTATGCCCTCTTCCCCTTTAAAGGCATTGCTTCTTCAGTAGATGGGTTATCCTTGCCTTTTCCTTCCTATTTCTAATGGGTGTTTGGACACTATTCAGTACCAATGTGCAGACAGTGGAAGGAAATGAAATGAAAAATGTATTTTTGAAAATTTGATTCTTGGTTATAGGTTTGATTCTTTTTGTAGATTTATCAGAAAGAAGTAAACTAAAAGTTCATATTTGAGACTCTTTTTTTTCCCTCCTCTCTAAATTCTGATACTAGAATGACTCTATTAGCACTTTCAAAGAGAATTATACAGTTTTCTCTTGAACTCTTGATGTGCTTTGGGACCTAGCTGCAGGGATTGGGACAGTTAGAGTAATAGTAGCTAACATTTCTTAAGCACTTATTCTTATACTTGCCCACACATTTAATTTTTAATTTCCCAGTAAAATAGCTGTTTAAGTGGTTGTGCTGGAATTTAAAACTCGGCTATTGAATCCAGCACCCAGGTTCCTAATAGCTTTGCTCTACATCCCACAATTTAGAACTGGAATACTTTAGACATATTCTAAATATATTCTAAATTATAGATACTATAGATACTTGACATTGGGCAAACCATGAAACCTTGCTGGACTTCAGTTGTCCCATCTATAAAATGGCAATTGTTTGATTTTCCTGTGATATCATATATTTCTACTGGTTTATCTCTTGCCATCTCTATCAGTTTTAATATATTCTCACTGTGCCTAGGTAGTATGTGGTAGCTTATTCCAACTTCTTATTCCAAGCAACTTGGGAAAGCTCCTTAGCTTTATGTCTTGGTTTCCTGTCTGTAAACTGGGGGCAATAGCAGAATCTGCATCTTAGAATTGTTAAAAGAATGAAATGAATTAATTCATGTAAAGCTGTTGCTGACATGTATTAATTGCTCAATAAATGTTAGCTATTACTCTTGTTGTTTTAAACTAGTTTCACCTACATTTTCCTGCTTGATTTTCCCAGCATCACTGAGGGTATAGAGAGAGCAGGTGGTGTTAAACCTATTTTATATTAGAGAAGATCAGGAGTCAGAGAGGTAATGGACTTGCCCAAGGTCACAAGAGCTAACAAGTGGCAGAGGAGAACAGGAACAGCAGGTCTGTTTAATTATATATATATATATATACATATATATTATATAATATATATAATTATATATATATAATTATAAAGTTATATATATATGTGTGTATATATATATGTATATATATAGTGTCTAAGTCTGTTGTCTGTCGGAAAACCCAATTCTAGATTTAACAAATATGGTAGAAAAGAAAGTTGGCAGTAATTTAGAGGGCACTTCTTCACCCTGTAAAAGTTTCACTGCTAGTCTCTGCTAAATAGTCAATGCCTCTAAATATTTAAAACAAGGTCCAACTTATAAGAAAAATATTTCCCTGCAGGGCACACCTATACTAACTTTCCCAGCCTAAACCGTGTGACACAGAAGCTTTGGAGGACATTAACCATCCAACAGGCAGAGGGAAAGGGGAGACAGCTTGAGCGCAGAGTCAGGAGCCTGGGAACACTGACTCCCCACACTGGTGGCTGTGAGAGCCACCTGGGTCACAGCGGTGTGTTGTTTGAGAGGTTATAAAGTGCTTCCACGTTGTGAAAGTCAACTGTGGGAAGGGTTTGAACTTGACCATCTATTCAGCATCTATTTCAAAATACTGTAATTCTCCAAAGAGTTTTAGAAGAAGGGTCTTAAATATCAGTGTAATAGATCTAGAAATGTAGGAAGAGCTAAATTTGGCAACTGCTATGTCAAGCAAAAGAAAAAGAAAAAAAGCACGTTAAATTGCGGCTACTCTCTGCTGGGCAGTTGAGCAGTTTATTGCCTTGGTTCTTGCCTGGCTAA